AGGCTGCGGGGCCCAGGATATCGCATCGCCATCATTCAGCATGCATCATTGCCCTGTGGGTCCATGCAAGCCCTGCTCGAAGTAGCTTCAACATAGGCGCCCAAGGGACTTGCATTCGTATCGACTGGCCTTTCTCGTTTGTGCGTTGCTTCTTCTTTTTGTTCTTCTGATGCCTAAGCCACCCTGGCTCGGCAGCCAGATACCTTGATGCCTAGCCATTCTGGCTCGGCACACCTCTGAGGCTGCGGGGCCCAGGATATCGCATCGTCACCATTCAGCATGCATCCTTGCCCTGTGGGTCCATGCAAGCCCTGCTCGAAGTTGCGTCGAAATAGGCGCCCAAGGGACTTGCATTCGTATCGACTGGCCTTTCTCGTTTGCGTGTGTCCGCTTCTTCTTCGTCTGATGCCTAAGCCACCCTGGCTCGGCAGTCAGATACCTTGATGCCTACGCCAGTCTGGCTCGGCACACCTCTGTGGCTGCATGACCCCGTGATCCGCGTGAGGGGTGCGCGGCAATGGGCAAGGTCAGGGGCTTCCCAGGGGTTCCCCAGGGGTCCACTGCCTTGGGTGCCCATGGGGTTCAAGGGGCTCTCAGAAGTGGCACGTTGGGGGCTACCCCCAACATTGAAGGTGGGTGTGTGTTTGCCCCCCCCCCCCCACCCCCAAAAACAAAAAAAAAAAAAAAAAAAAAAAAAAAAAAAAAAAAAAAAAAAACCGTGGTTGGGTGGCACGTTACCCCCCCTCCCACCCTGGGGGGGGGGGTGGGGGGGGGGTGAGGGAACGCGTTGGGGAATGCGCCCCAACCTTGGGGGTTGCATGTCTTCTCCACCCCCCCCCCCCCCCCCTCCCCCCCCCCCCCCTTCTCCAACCCCCCTTCTCCCCCCCCCCCCCCCCTCCCCCCCCCCCCCCCCCCCCCCCCCCCCCACCCACCCACCCACAACACACAACCCCCCACCTTGGGAGGGTGGCAACGTTGGGGGCCTCCTCCCAAAAAACCTTTGGTGGGGGAGGGGGGGGGGGGGGGGGGGGGGGCGTTTTGGTGACCTCCCCTAACCTTGGGGGTGGCACGTGGCCCCCCCCCCCCCCAACCTTGGGGGGTGCCACGTTGGGGGCTCCCCCCAACCTTGGGGGGTGGCACGTTGGGGGCTCCCCCCAACCTTGGGGGGTGCCACGTTGGGGGCTCCCCCCAACCTTGGGGGGTGGCACGTTGGGAGCTCCCCCCAACCTCGAGGGATGGCACGTTGGGGGCTCCCCCCCAACATTGGGGGGTGGCACGTTTGCCCCCCCCCCCCCCCTCCCCCCCCTCCCCCCAAACCTTGGGGGGTGGCACGTTGGGGCTCCCCCCACATTGGGGGGTGGCACGTTGACCTTGGGGGTTGGCACGTTGGGGGCTCCCCCCAACCTTGGAGGTGCCACGTTTGGGGCCCCCCCCACCTTGGGGTGGCACTTGGCCCCCCCCCAACTTGGAGTTGCACGTTGGGCCCCCCCCCCCCAACATTGTGGGGGTTTGGGGGCTCCCCCCAACATTGGGGGGGGGCACGTTGGGGGCTCCCCCCAACCTTGGGGGGTGCCACGTTGGGGCCCCCCCCCGACCTTGGGGGGTGGCACGTTGGGGGCTCCCCCCAACCTCGAGGGATGACACGTTGGGGGCTCCCCCCAACATTGGGGGGTGGCACGTTGGGGGTCCCCCCCAACCTTGGGGATGGCACGTTGGGGGGTCCCCCCCGACCTTGTGATGGCGTGCGGGGCATGTTGGGGACCCCCCCCAACCATGTGAGCAAATCGTGGTGATGATACGTTGGGGGGTTCCCCGGACTTGGTGCTCTTGGGGCTCCTCCCATCGGTGTTTGTTCCGTTGCCGATTCATGGCTGAGGTCAGCCTGCCCAGCGCAGCTGGTTCCTTTTTAGTCAGGGACGCCTGCGCACTATGTTGTCTAGGCCCGCATCCACAGATATACAGAGCGTTCGCCATGGTGAGTTGCGTCGGCAAGTGCAGTCTCTCGACGACTCTTTCGATTGGGTGAACCACGCCCTGGAGAGGCCGGAGACATATGACGGGATCGACACGGATCGATTCAAGAACATATTTGGCGACCGCGTGATCAGATGCAGCACAGCTTTTTCTGGTATTGGGGCGCCTGAGCTGGCAGACACAATGATTTCAAATGCCATCCACAAGCAAGTGTTGAATTGTTGCATCACCGTGGCCGCGAGTGCAGTGGTACTACATTTCATCAGACGTATGCAATCGAGAAGAGTGTGAAGTGCCAGGAGGAATTGCTCAACACCCCTTTCCCGCAGAAGCCTCCTGATCACATATTTACAGATATCCTCGACTTCGTGCCTAGGAACGTTCAGATCAAGTGCGGCATGCACAAGGGCACTGAGTACCCTGCGAAGGAGTTGAAGAAGATCATTCCGACGTGCCGCCCTTGTCCCAAGGCGTGGTGCATCAAGTGCGGCAACTACTGCGCGATTCCCACCAGCGAGTTCCACAGGGCGGGTTCCCCATGCCTGGACGACTCCCCCATGGGAAAGCAACGCCACGCAGATGGTCCTCAAGCCAAAGTGTTTTACAGCTGGGTCAGCTTGATGCGCTGGCAGGAACCAAAAGTTATCCTGCACGAGAACGTCTTGAAATTCGGGGAGGGTGAGCTGAAGGATCTGTTGTCAGACCTCTACATCATAGTTCGCTCAGTGGTGGACCCTTCGACGCTCGGCTGGCCAGCAAATCTGCCAAGACAGTACTGCGTGCTCATCCTCAAGTCTTGGATTATTGATCAAATTCCAGGACATGTCACCTCTGTGGACTCATACGTCATCGAGAAGATGAACTTCTGCGCCAACCTAGACAGGTTTTTGTTTCGAGATACGGCCCCTGGCTATACGTTCACGGCGTTCATGGTTGCATCTCAGTTTGAGTTGGACCAATACCTCCATTGGATGAAGAATCGCAAGTTTGTCTTCAAGCGTTACGCGGATGCTGGGATTGATGTGCCTGCGCAGTTCACTTTCGAGGACGGCCTTACCAAGTCTGAGTTTGAGCGGCGGGCTGCGTGCAAAACACTTTGGCCTCAGGACACGGGCGACCTCAACCAGAACCCAGATAAAAGGCCCATACACTCGAGCAATGGCAATCTGAACACACTCATCAAGAGCACGGCCGTCCTCTGGCATCACGAGTCTAACCGCCCATTCGTCCCTTCAGAGCTGGCGACCTCGATGGGTTTCCCAATCAAGCAGGAGCACCAGCTGATCGCTCGCGCCAAGCATAGCTTATCCCGTGGTGTCGATGCCGCTCCTGATCGTACTATCAGGTCTCAGACGACTGCGATTGGAAATCGCATGCACGTGAATGCGGTTGGCGGCTGCACGCTCATGATCATCACGCTGCTCCCGAACCTTGGCACCCGCACGCCGGGCACTGATCTTTCGCCCCCCTCGCCGACATCGCCTCGCAGGCGTGCAAAGCGGCGCCCGACCAGTGCGTTTTCTCCGGCGTTTCAGGTGTTGGTGAAGAGGAAACGGGTGAAGTGAGTAGAGGCCAGCAGTCTTAGGCATCGTAAGGCTTCCAGGGCTCTGGATTTGCGGTTCCAAGGGTTTGTTTGAGCGTGTTCAGAGAGCTTCGCATATGTAAGACAGCCACGTATCTGGGCTGCCCACTCGTGCGATGAGCGAGGTCAGAGGTGTGGAAGACATCTCACATAAGCTCGGTAGTACAGGCAGCTGAGGAATCAATTGCACGGCACTGGATAAACTGTTGCCGCTTCCTCCTCGAACCCTCGCGCACCGTCCCTGGGCACCGCTACGGCGAAACTATCGGTTGACATGGACAGCCTCGAGGGCGCGAAGATGATCAGTCGTCGCGGCCTGGGCCAGAGACCGCGCTTCTCCAGGGAGCATCGCGAGAGCGCCAAGGTGACAAGATGACCGCTCGTCGCGCAGCGGGGGGCACGATAAGTTAGGTGACCTAGGTTGAAGCGGGGCGATTCCTTTGTGGGGCATACGTTTTGATGTTTGCAGCTTGAAGATCGCCCTGGCTTGGAAAGGGGTTACAAACGAAGCGCGAAGATGACCGCTCGTCGCGCGGCGGGGGGCGCGAATACTAAAGTAAGGTGACCTAGGTCCTAGGTTGAGGCGGGGCGATCTCTTGTGGGACATCCGTTGTGACGTTGGCAGCTGTTTCAGCTTGCACTTTGATTGTGCTTTTTCCGTGCCCTTCTGGCACATCAGCCCGCTCTTCGAGATGGGCGATGAGGATGCGTCACCGAGCCGCAGAAGCAGCTCGCGCTCGCGCTCGCCTCGCCAGACTGGTGGCGACGCATTTGAAGCAACTCGTTGAAAACATGTCCCCTCATGCTCCTCCTCCTCCTCCTCCTCCTCCTCCTCGCTCCTCCTCCTCCTCCTCCTTCTCCTTCTCCTCCTCCTCCTCCTCCTCCTCGCCCTCGTCCTCCGCCTCGCTCCTCCACCCGCGCTTCCTCCTGGTCCCCCTCCCCCATTGTATTGATCATTCTGCTCCCCAGGTGGTGGCGAGGGACGTCTGGCGGTCGATGCGATCCTGACCGCTGCCCAGATCATCGACCTGGTGTCTTCCGATCGCAAGGGCAACGGCAAGAAGGAGCTCGAGACGTTCACGAGAGCTGCGGGGTCTTCCTTCGACCGCTTCGACAGCACCGTCGAGTCTGTCACGGTCCGCTACCCTAGGATCACAGGCGCAGTCCTGAACAGGAAGCTGCGCGAGACCTACGGCCGTCCTGGTCAATATGCGTTACCGTTCTTCCTCCCAAGCGGTAAGTGTAGCAGAAGCAGTACTGCGAGGACATCAAGAAGGATGGCGTCATCGAGGGGGGCAGGTCGGAGCGCATAGCGATTATCATGGTCGAGGAGAACGAGCCGCACGCCTACTTCTTAGCAGGGGCGACTCTGATGGAAGCAGCATACCAAGCATTCGAATAGGCCCCTGACAATGTACAAGTACAGTTTACGAAAACCATGGGGATGCCCAACGTATGCATTTTCGATTGCAGGACGCCATACGACGTCGCTCGTCATTATGTGGACCTGCAGAACGAACGGAACAGTCAAGGAACCAAGAGGTCACACATCGAGATGTGCAACGACTCGCAGATGATCGCCAAGAACTGGGAGAACAACTGCAAAGAAGAAAGGGAGGAGAGGAGGCGGAAGAAGAAGGAGCAGCAGGACAGGGAGAATCGCCAGGACAACGACGAGAGCAAGCCACTCACCGATGAGAAGAAGCAATCAGTGGAAGTTCGGTACCGCAGGTACGCGGTGGAAACCCACCCCGAGGAATTCCCGAAATACGAGCCATTCTGCGACGCGAAGGAGTCCTACAACAAGATGGTCACCATGGGCGTGTGGCAGGATTACAAGAACTACTGTCGGAAATTCTGCAAGTTCTCAGACGCGAACCTGGACAGTCGGAAGGTCCTTTTCCTCAACAACGAAGTGTGCAAGCTTTTGATCAATCATGTCAGTTTGTGGCCAGCGTGCTTGCCTCTCCTGGAGTTGATTATCCCGACGACTGATGGCAAGCCGTGGGTCCTGAAGGAGACTGCCCAGTCAAAAAGTTTGTCTTGCCTCCTGCTCCCTTTGAAAGAATCGAAGACGTTCCAGCTCAGCATCGCCCCCGCCAAGCAGTTGAACAGCGGGGCCTTGGCGGCGCCGCAGAAAGAAGAGGGGACCAAGAGGAGGGCCAGGCCAAAGGCTTCAGCAAAGGCAAAGGCAATCGAGAAGCTGTCTGCAACAGTCACTGAGGGGAGCGGCAGCAGGACTGCGACCTTACTAGATGATATGCTCACGTCTCTTAAATTGAGCATCCAGGGCGTCAAACATCCAGACGATGCATGTGTGGACCAAGCTTCGGAGTGGTGCTTGGCATTTGCACTCAGTGATCAGAAGGGCATCGTTCTTGAGGTCGGCAAGGCCCCGAATGTCAAGGAGAAGAAGTTCGCGACATGGGCTGCACTACGAAAAGTTAGCAAGAAGAAGAAGATCGTCGATCACCACTCCTCGTATGAGCGCGATGATGAAGCAGATGGCCAGAAGGAGGAGGACCCAGATTTACGTGGAGATGGAGCTGCTGATGAAGCCAACTCGACCGACGAAGAGGATCATGAGAAACGCGATGGGCCCGGTGAGCTCGAGGTTGCTATGAACGTGGTCGGTGTCCTCACGACGTTTCCCAAGGTAGCAAGTCGGACTGCGACTTTCTTGCAGCAGAATCCACTGAAAGATGCAATGACGTTGGCCATGAAGTCGCACGACGCCCTGAACCGTGTCAGGGTGTTCTTGTGGAGGGAGGTACCTGACAAGCTTTCTGTGCGATCTGAAAGTGCTGCTGCTACCGCCATGAGTGACGTCATCGTGCCTATGCTACAAGCGAAGATATTCGAGGAGGTGCCTCCAGAGATGATCCAGCTCGCGTACGTTGTCTACTCTGAGACCGCAGCGGCTGGCAGAATCCCGACTGGTGCAAATCTTTCGGCCCGAAAGCATCCTCGCTCAAGGATCTGTGGGCTGACCGCGAATGCGTTGAGATGCACTTGCAACTGAGGGCGCTGTACGTGAAGCATTGCCTGGCAGAGGTGGTTGAGTGTCTGTTAGCCTGGGACTTCGAGATCACTGGCGATGGAGACACTACGGACACTACATCATATAAGGATTCCTTGGTCACCCTTTGCAGAAGTGGCCAGAAGTTCTTGACGACGAGCCTGGAGGACATTGCTGTGTTGGACGCGAACAAGTTTACGGCCGCAGAGTGGACAAAGTTCTGGGTCCGAGTGTTCGAGAAGGCGACTCAGCTCAGTTCTGGCCGCCAGGTGGAGAGACGCCAAGATAAGGAATGGGATGATCTGCAGAAACAGTGGACCGCCCAAATTTCCAAGACGAAGGTCGAAGAACTTCGAGAGCTGCTGGCGAGCCAGCGTGGATTGTCCGCTGCAGAGTTGAAGAAGATGCTGAAGGACCACGTCGTGAAAGAACTTGTTGCAGACAAGCTTGCTGCGGAAAAGAAAGAAGAGGACATCTTGGCTCAGGAATGGGCGAAGCTAAAGGACGGCGCTCTCCAATCACTCACCACCATGTCTGAGGACGTACCTCGAGATCATGCGGAGCGGGAGGGTGATGAAGGCGACGGCCCTGGCGACATGGTGAAGTTCGACACCCAGATGAACTCGCAGGTGGAAGCTCTCTGGACCGCTGGAGTGCAGGCAAGCATCGCTCAGTCTTGGATGCTCAGCTGCATCACATCACCAGAGTATGGCGACAAAGGGCTGCGCTGCATCGCGTACAAGATGCCCATCAAGACGGAGGCACAGGGGAAGCCGATCAAACGTTTGTATTGCCATCCTGACGGTGCGAACGATGTAAAGTTATTCTTTATGGGGCGAGTGGCAGCAAGCATGAGTGGCCAATTTATCGGATCTAAACAATTTGTTGATGCAGGGCCTGTCGGCCAGTGCCAAACACATCGCTACTTCGTCGCGCCTGTGCCCGCAACCCTCGCCCCCCAGACCAAGACGCCAGTCTGCGCGTGGATGGTGCGAGCTGCGGCGGTGGCGAGCCCAGATCAGGGGGACGAGCCGACCCCGACTACACGGCCTACGATGAAGTGGGAGTGCGAGGACGTGACGTTGAGCGGCTGCAAGAACGGGCACATCGACATCCCCATATCACAATGACCCTGACCTACCTGGTGGTTGACAAGGAGGCGGTCGACGAGTCGGGCCTCGACGACGGCGAGGTCTTCGAGCTCACCCGCCCGTGCTTTCCCAGCGAGGTGGTAGTGGTCACCTCACCTCTCCTCCTCCCTCCCCCGCTCTTTCTCCAACTTCTCCAACCCCAACCCTCTCTCTCCTCCCCCTCCAACTCCTCCAACTATCTCCTCCAACTCTCACCTCCCTCTACAACCCTCTCCTCCAACTCCTCTAACTTCCCTCCCCTCTGAGGGGGCAACGGCAGGGGGGGATGGACATAGGGTGCCCGATAGATCGGCGATATGCCCCCGATAGCCCGATAGTGAATCCACTCGTTTCGGGCCCCTATCGGCGATCAATGGGCGATTGGGGGCAGATTCGGGTTCGATGCATCCCCCCCTATGCCTATCCTGATCCTCGCTATCCTCACTCAGCTCCTACGCCAGGTGGCCACGAACAGGCGCAAGCTCGAGCGGAAGGCCTCGAGGGACGCGAAGATCGAGGCCGACAAGACGGAGGAGGGCGTCCTCAGGAGGATGGGTAAGCACCTGCTTAAGTAGGATGAGGCCCGACTGGGCCCCCTGGCGCAGGCGCCTGCGCACGGCGCGAGGAGGGGGAGGAGGCGGAGGAGGAGGGGGAGGAGTAGGAGGGCGAGGAGGAGGAGGAGGACGAGGAGGAGGAGGAGGAGGAGAAGGAGGAAGAGGGAGGATGAGGAGTGATGAGGAGGGTGCGTGCGTGCGCAGGCGTGCTCACAGTGCGCGCCTGCCTCGTAGCGATCAATCAATGCTCGCAAGCAATTGTTCGCAGCTCGGGTGAGGCGCGAGGACTCGCACGCACGCTGACTTCTTGCGGCGGATGCCGCGTGTACCACACCGTCGACGGAGAGAGAGCGATCTCTCCTCCTCGTCCCTCCACCTCCCTCCCTCGTCTGGGGTCGGAGTAGATGGGGTCGGAGGATCGCGCCGTGTCGCCGATGCATCGGCGATGCATCGGCGATAAATCGGCGATGCACTGGGCGATGTATCGGCGACGTCGACGCGAAGCAATTCGGGCTCCACATCGAGCCGCATCGGCCGCATCGGCGATGCAGCGTTGTGACGCGACCCCCGACCCCATCTACTCCAACCCCATCTAGGACGCCCAGGGAATCAGAATCGTCAGCATCGTTAACGACGTCGTCGCACAGTCAACCCGCAGAGTAAAGATGGGAAACCTTCCCAAGGGTATCCTGCCATCCTTGCTTCCTCGGCCCATCCTGGGCGTCCAAGGCCCTTGTGTCCTTATCGCGCATCCTTATGATACGGGCCGACTGTCGTCGTCGTCGTCGTCGGCGGCGGCGTCGTCGGCCGGCGGACCGCCCCCGCCGCCCCCGCCCGCTACGTCGACGCCTTCGCGGCGCAGGCGGGCCGTGCTCCGCGCTCCGCGCGGCGTGCTCGCGCCCCGCCGCCCGCAGCGGGAGAGGTCGGAGGAGGAGAAGGGCGACTGTGAAGGAGGCTCCCCCGCCCCTCCTCCTCCTCCCCCCCCTCCTCCTCTTCCCTTTTTTTCCTCTCGCCTACGCCGCGCCTTTTGAAGGAGTGGCGCGATCTGCGCGAGGGGCGCGCCGACGCGCGTGCCCATCCCTCCCCCCGCTGGGCCAGCTGCAGGGCGCGATCCGCGTGATGGGGTGCGTGCGAGTCGCGGAATTGTGTTGCTAACGTCATGTTTTTTGGCCACCTGGTCTCGTGGCCCAAGGGCGCTGTGCGAGCTTTGATCGCGGCCGTCTGGGGGGCGAGGACAAGAATCACGCAGTGGCAACGAGTGCCCACCCCCCAGAGAATTCAAGCAAACTTCTGCTTTAAACTAAGTGCGCCACCAAAAAAACAAAAAAAAAAAACCTTGCTCGACTGCTCAGTGGGACAACATGTAAACAAACCATACCATAATATCACATGGTGATGAAAAAAAAAAAAAAAAAAAAAAAAAAAAAAAATGCAATCCCACTACATGAGCCCACATGTTTTTTCTCTTCCCGAAGGCCGAGTTCTCATATCGCTCGACGGCTTAAGGCCAGGCTACCAGGCGGCCAAAAATCAAAAAAAAACAAATCACTTCTGAAACGGCGACGTTCCTGACGAAAGAATTCGACGCGGATGCACGTACTCAGCCGACTACGGCGGTCGAGCTCATCTCGCTGCAGTCTCAGGTGTCAGAGCTGCAGCGCCAGCTGCGCGAGGCGCAGCGGCATGCCGCCCAGATGCAGGCTGGCGCTCTGACGGTGGACGCGCCGAACGGCGGACCGCAGCGAGGATGCTCGCCTGACAGCGCACCGCATGAGCGGACGGCGACAACAACCCGCGACGACGCTCAGACAGAGGCGCGTGTGCCTCTGCCGTGCCGTGCGACACAGCCAACAATCGCATGTTGGAGAGGCTCGAGCAGCAGCAGCAGCAGCAGCATAACGCCAACTCTGGCACAGGCTGGCGCAGGCTACCCCCGCCGCGACTGGCGCAGCCCTGCCGAGTGGAGTCGCCGCAGAGCGCCCGCAGTCAGGCCAGCTCCCAGCGTGAGACGGTCTTGATGATGCATGGCGGAAGCGCTGCTCGCGGGGCCACGCCCGTTTCAGGCGTGGACCGCCACGCCCGCCAGATGCGCGACAATGCCCAAATTATCTTGGCGATCGAACCTGTGGCCTCCGACGAGTACTACGGGTGGCATGCCGACTGGGACCGTGCCCCAGGGCGCGTTTCCATGGAAGAGTGGGTGATCGAACAACGGCGGAGACGCTGCGCGGGGGCTGCAAGCATCCGCGCGGGCGCGCCCAGTGGACAACGGGCCGAAATTCAGGGCCCGCTCAAAACTATGCTGTCCGACGGCCGATTGTCTTCCCTGCAGACATCGGTTCCAAAAAATAATACTATCGGGCAACGCGCAGCCAGTCACTTCGTGGAGCTTGCCAGACATGCTGTGGCTTTCACACCGTGCGACGTGATTTGACGGAAACGCTGCATGTCAATGGCGCGGGCGCGGGGCCGGTCATCTGCAGGTCCGCGAGCATTTTTCCCAATGCCTGCGACTGCCTGCAGAAGCGCCGGCTGGGTACCTTCGCCGCCGATATTGCCGAACGCATTGGCGCCGATATTCTGGCTCTCCTCGGCCCGAGCAGCCTCCAGAGGACACGCGTGATTCTGGCGCTCGGAAGTGGGGGCGAGGAGATCATCTTCCAAAATGAGGCCCGATGCAGAGTTCAGTTGGGCGGGGGCGCCGAGATCCTTCGGCTGGAGAGAGGCATCAGCGGCCACTTGACCATCCCGTGCGTTGCGTTTCAGGGCGCGGAGAGGACCAATTACCACGGGCCCCGCGTGCCTGAAGATTCTGTTTCAAAATGTCACGAGCCAGGCAGACAGTGGGGTGACAGGTCAGCGCAGCGCGACTGTGGTGGCCTGTAACTACGCGGACGAGGAGACGCAGTCGGACTTCATGCCGAGCTTCTCCTCCCCCGATGGCGCGCGTCCTCGGAATCGCGAGGGCAATTTCATGAAGCATGTGGGAACGCGGTACGAAAAAGTTGTATACCCCGATAGGGGGTGCTGGGGGGCTCGCGGAATCGTCGCGGCCCTTCGGGGCCGACAAAGGTATTGTCGCAGGGTGCAGGCGGCGACGCAGACGCGCATCGGCTTATTCACACATCCCGGTGATCTAGATACGGCTACCGGACTCTTGTTGCGCGCTCTTGCGCACATTCCCAACGCCCGCGCCAACGTGGTGGAGGCCGCCGTGACTGACTTTGTCAATCGCCACCTCGACTGCAATCGCTCGCGTCGGGTCGGCCCCGCCAATCCGGCAGTCTATCGGGCCGCGTGGAGGTGGAGGTGGTGAACGCCATGGCGGACATTCTCCTGGAGCAGGACGACCGGGCGGCGGCGCCGTGGGCCCCTGCCCCGCGCTGCGCGACGGGCGCGCCCAGCGGAGACGCCAGCCAGGCATCAGGCAGCGCTCCGAGGGATCCGAACAGCACCTACAGCACGTGCATGACGGTGGGCGCAGACGCCCGCGATCAGCGAGGAAGCGCCAGCGCGCCGTGAAAGGGGACAGGCTGAGGAGAACCGGCCCTCAGCTTGCCGACCCAGTGGGCCGGCGCCCACAACGTGCTTGGAAACAAGTTCACATCATCTAGAGGATATTCGCATTGGTTCCGCCCATGTTCGCCAGCGCGGACTCACGTGCGACAGGGCAACGCTTGCAGAAGTAATGTCGGCCAACGGCTCCACGTGCTTGGCAGCGCGCTGGCCAGAGACTACGCTATGCGGTGGGTCCCCGCGCCGGCGGGGTTGTGCATGCACTCGCCAGGGACAAGGACAGGTGCGCATTTGCGGATAGGGAATCTCATGACAAAGGCAAAGGGGTTCAAAGTGCATATCGCCGTGATGAGTCCTCCAGGGTCCACGTGGAAGGTACAGCCTAGTATGGGAATGATCGAGGACCCACGCCTAACTACAATGCGTATGCGTCTATGTCATACTGGATTTACATATAGCCGTAGGGATGCGAAGCCCAGCTGTTCTCACCGACAGGTTGTGACTGCGTACAGCCGCATTCCCACGACAATGGGGAGATGCAAATGTGTGGATCCTACTCGATGCGCGCTCGATTGTTGCGGCC